TGAATACATTTTCAAGGTTGCCAGGTTGACAGGGAAATGAAAAGACAAACCTTGATGACAAAGTCCCAGAGCATGTCAGTAGTTTTCATACTGTAAAATCAGACATTTGGAAATATAAATATGTCCTGGTCAACATTCTTTGAAAGTTGAGCTACTGGGGGCTGACATTTGCAAGGCTAGTGACCTGAAAGGAGTTGTATTCAATCCACCAAACACCCATGTATTCATATTCAGGATGCAATCCATCTAGACAGGTGACAAATGAGAGGGCAAACCAGCATGTCTCAGTGAGGTGCTGAGCCACTACATGCCACCAGAACAGCTTTAGTGCACCTCAGCATTGACTCTCCAAATGTCTGAACTCCACCGGAGGGAGGAACGGCGTTCTTTTGTAGTATAATATAAAGTGACAAAGTCCATATTAGGAGAAGGTTGGGGTGGATACATGGGTCAGAAAAAAAGACTGTCCCACAGGAGACCAGTGTTTGATTCCACTGTAAATTATCTTGTTACGTAACATTTTTTCCCCATGACAGTTAAACAATGATAACGATGATCCTGCAGTTTTAAGGGATTTGTAATTTTTTAACTAAACCAAAATCTTTTCTTAAACTAATCAAGTTTTCTGAGTCAAAACCTAATGAAACTGTGATGGTTCCATGATTGTAACCATGTGTTTATGCATGGATCCTTGATAACAAAGATCTGCTAAGCATGGTGCTGGAACACTTCTCTTGAAGGTAGGGATGTACAGTGCCTTGTGAAAGTATTCGGCCCCCTTGAACTTTGCGACCTTTTGCCACATTTCAGGCTTCAAACATAAAGATATAAAACTGTAATTTTTTGTGAAGAATCAACAACAAGTGGGACACAATCATGAAGTAGAACGAAATTTATTGGATATTTCAAACGTTTTTAACAAATAAAAAACTGAAAAATTGGCCGTGCAAAATTATTCAGCCCCCTTAAGTTAATACTTTGTAGCGCCACCTTTTGCTGCGATTACAGCTGTAAGTCACTTGGGGTATGTCTCTATCAGTTTTGCACATCAAGAGACTGAAATTTTTGCCCATTCCGCCTTGCAAAACAGCTCGAGCTCAGTGAGGTTGGATAGAGAGCGTTTGTGAACAGCAGTTTTCAGTTCTTCCCACAGATTCTCGATTGGATTCAGGTCTGGACTTTGACTTGGCCATTCTAACACCTGGATATGTTTATTTGTGAACCATTCCAATGTAGATTTTGCTTTATGTTTTGGATCATTGTCTTGTTGGAAGACAAATCTCCGTCCCAGTCTCAGGTCTTTTGCAGACACCATCAGGTTTCCTTCCAGAATGGTCCTGTATTTGGCTCCATCCATCTTCCCATCAATTTTAACCATCTTCCCTGTCCCTGCTGAAGAAAAGCAGGCCCAAACCAGGATGCTGCCACCACCATGTTTGACAGTGGGGATGGTGTGTTCAGGGTGATGAGCTGTGTTGCTTTTACGCCAAACATAACGTTTTGCATTGTTGCCAAAAAGTTCGATTTTGGTTTCATCTGACCAGAGCACCTTCTTCCACATGTTTGGTGTGTCTCCCAGGTGGCTTGTGGCAAACTTTAAACGACACTTTTTATGGATATCTTTAAGAAATGGCTTTCTTCTTGCCACTCTTCCATAAAGGCCAGATTTGTGCAGTATACGACTGATTGTTGTCCTATGGACAGAGTCTCCCACCTCAGCTGTAGATCTCTGCAGTTCATCCAGAGTGATCATGGGCCTCTTGGCTGCATCTCTGATCAGTCTTCTCCTTGTATGAGCTGAAAGTTTAGAGGGACGGCCAGGTCTTGGTAGATTTGCAGTGGTCTGATACTCCTTCCATTTCAATATTATCACTTGCACAGTGCTCCTTGGGATGTTTAAAGCTTGGGAAATCTTTTTGTATCCAAATCCGGCTTTAAACTTCTCCACAACAGTATCTCGGACCTGCCTGGTGTGTTCCTTGTTCTTCATGATGCTCTCTGCGCTTTAAACAGACCTCTGAGACTATCACAGTGCAGGTGCATTTATACGGAGACTTGATTACACACAGGTGGATTCTATTTATCATCATTAGTCATTTAGGTCAACATTGGATCATTCAGAGATCCTCACTGAACTTCTGGAGAGAGTTTGCTGCACTGAAAGTAAAGGGGCTGAATAATTTTGCACGCCCAATTATTCAGTTTTTTATTTGTTAAAAAAGTTTGAAATATCCAATAAATTTCGTTCCACTTCATGATTGTGTCCCACTTGTTGTTGATTCTTCACAAAAAATTACAGTTTTATATCTTTATGTTTGAAGCCTGAAATGTGGCAAAAGGTCGCAAAGTTCAAGGGGGCCGAATACTTTCGCAAGGCACTGTATGTGATTTAAGCTGGAGGACTTGTAGGGTGGCCGGACTTACCCTTAGAGATGGAGTGCAGAGTTTGGACATCCAGAAGGAACTCAGAGTAGAACCGCATCCTCTTCACATCAAAAGGAGCCAGTTGAGGTGGTTCAGACAGGATGCCTCCAGAGCACCTCCCTTTGGTGGTCTTCTGGGCACGTCCATCTGGAAGGAGACCCCAGGGCAAAACCAGAACGTGCTGGAGAGATTATATACATCTCATCCGGCCTGGGAACGCCTTGGAATCTCCCCAGAAGAGCTGAAACATGTCGCCAGGGAGAGGGACATTTGAACTACCTTACTGAACCTGCTGTCACCGTGACCTGACCCCAGATAAGCAGCAGATAATGGATGGATAGATGTTAAATTTGTGGGAAAAAATGTGAAAGCAAAAATTTAAATGACTGAATTAGTTGCTTTTATGGGGTGTTGCATACTGAAACAAGTCACTGCATAATAGCCAGCCCAGCTGTTTCCCCAATCCTCCAGTCTTTATGCTAAGCTACGCTAACCACCTGCTAGCTCTAGATTCATATTTAGCATACAGGTGTGGCATCTTCTCAGTTAATTTTACTTAACGTTACTTTACTGTGACATGGTTTTAATTGGTAAAATGCGTTGAGACTCAGTAACATGACAAAATGTTTTCATTTGGATTTTCCAGCCCTTTCCTTATTTAACACTATATGTTTGAACAGGTTTCACACTAAAATATGTACAACTGTTTTTGTATATGAGGACATACCCAAAGACAGATAATGAGTTGCTAATGAACCCGATGACAGCAAAACAACAACTATGATGTGCCATAATCAACGAGTGATGAGATAATTACTTCCTCTTAATGAACCTTTCCTTGACCTAATTTACAGTCCAGGCAACACATTGCACATTTCCAGAGCATCTCTATTGCAGTTATTTCTGTCAGATGAGGAGCTTTGATCAGTATGTTATGAGCCCCTTATCACAAAGCATGTGTCCCTATCTTTGTATCTCTTATTATCTTGCCCTGGGAAATCAAAACAGAACTGACTACATAACAAACACAACAGCCCAAAAGTAAAAGCTTGCAAGACAAAATGTGAGGGAGGACTAAAGTAAGGTCTAGTGCTGAGCTTGGCAATCCGCTGACCTTGATCCCCTTGACCAGCTAAAACACGAACAGATGTTAAAAGATATTCTCATCATAGTAGCACCCCACTTTCTCTGTCTGCATGACTCTCATTCACTCACAGCTGTGGCTAGAAAAGTTATTGCTACTGCTAACACAGAGGGAGAGCCCACATCTTAGCTTGATGATGCTCCCAAGAACTTTGAGTCAAAAGCCTCAGGGGCCCGCCCTACATCTGGAGCACTCCCCCCTCTGGAAATGGAGCGTAACATGGAATCAGAAAGTGAGAGCAGAACAGCAAATTTTGAAATCTACTTATATTCTTTTCAATATAAACTAATAGTTTTAGAGGGAGTAATAAAAAAACAGAGTGTCCCGGTGTTTAATCTGTTGTCTTCTGAACCCCTTATCCACCACAACCGGTTCCCTCTGTGGACCTTAGCACTCTCTAATGAACAGATGTTTCCTCCTGGCAGGTAAGAGTAATAATTAGTTGGTGGGTTGTGGGTCACTCAAACAACAGAATATGTTTCTTTCTTTCTTGCTTTTGGCATTTGCTAAAACAAATTAATTTTTTCTTAAGAGAAGAGTCTTGATAATTATGAAGCTACAGCCAACAGCTGACAGATTTCTTCCTCAGGACACAACCAGTCTATCCTCTGTCTGTAGCACTAATGCTGAGCTAAGACAACCAGCTGGCTAGTTTTCCGCAGAAAACTGTCCAGCTGTCCCCGGGCATAAGATTTTAGTTGTTCCAAAATGCAAAACAAACATTTTTGATGATGCAACTTTTTGTTTTTATGCTCTGCACATTTTGTTGTTGTTGTTTGTTTTATTATCAGTCAGTCTCGTGTATAGTTCTTTGAAACGCATGTTCAGTGGCTATGAAGAGATCTATAGCCACCTGCCGGGGATCGGTTGCTTCCTGGGTTCACTGGCATATTTGAATATTCATGAAACTTGGAATTCAATGAAGGGCAAAGAGCAGATATGTTTTCACATTCTTTTCAGAGGTTTACTGAGTTTTGGCATTTTCCTTCAATTCACCTCATCTCTATTAAACGTTCAGCATCCTTCACAGAGTGCCTTTTGACAAATGTGAAAGAGGAATGAAAACTATAAATAAATGAACTATTTATTGAAAACACGGGCAGTGGAGTATCGTAAACACTAGTAATACCTTCATTTACCCATTTTTGTTCACAAATGAGAAACATATCAAAAAGTCTGCAAAACTGCCACATAATAATCTATACAAAATGCAATGACATACCCAATGACAGACAATGTCTGTCCTAGGATAATTATTAAATATAAATTTGCATGTTTAAATGAAAATAATGTGTAACATAATACATATCGTTTACATTAATAGTTTTAGCTTCCACAAATGTGGAGTCACAGCTGTAGTGAAACAATTACATTATTCAGTCAGAAATATGCCTACTGCACAGTTAGAACGGCTAATAAGTCTTCTTCATTATTTTTTTTTTCATATATTCTCTTCCCATTGTAGAAATGGTATTAAATAACATTTTCACCTCAGGTAGGCCTACTTCAATCTTGCTTCATCTCGTCATGTGTCCTTCATTGCACCTTTAAAACCATCTTGTATAACACTGACAATTTCTTTGAACTTATAAATATCTATTAATGAGTTCTTTGTCCATGCAAGTTGTAGCAGATCCCTAATATCTGACCATGCTCTTGGCTCACTCACACTAGGTCATTACAGTTATCACAAATGAATTCTTGACACAGGTGTCAGGCGGTGTCTTGCAGTGACAGATTTCGCCTGTGGAGCTCATTGAGGACAACATCGCTGTTAGTGCCATCAGATATTCCGCTGTCCACAAACACAGACCCTGCAGGGGACAAACACAGTAACACATTAACAGTAGTATTGTATATAAACATGTAACCTATAAATTGTGTAAAAATGCAGGTCAGACACTGTAGACATACCACTGCTAGAGGTGGCGCCACTGATGATGGAGGCGCTTCGAGAGGTGAAGAGGGGTGCTGAATTGGTTGTAGTAGTGATCGACTGATTTCTGATGTTCTGGGTGGCTGTCCGACTCCACTCTGTAGGAAAGTGTATATGACCAAGCTTATATGACTTTGTTCATTTAACCCTATGTTTCCATAATTTGACAGATCTGTCTTGCAAATGTCACTGAAGAGATACAGTATTCATACTGACATCTATTAATATTAAGAGTAAAGAGCTCAAATTAATTGGTTTGTTTCTTTGTCTTGTATTTGGTAGACAATCGTGCTTTAAGTTCTGCAACTACATTTCCCATAAAGTTGTGGGGGATGATGCTGTGGAGTCATTCACTTACACTGTGGACTACAAGCCCATTTTTTAAGCCTATATTTGTTTATATTTTTCACAAATTGGCACAATAAAAAATAGGCTGAGTTAGGGATAAGCAGTTCTTTTCTACATATACAGTATATGTGTAACGTGTCTGTGCATTCGGGTTATGACTGAAAACTGTTTTTTAATTAGTGTAAGCAGGTAAAAGAACAGATGTAGGTGCCCACCTGAGTTTTCAGCCAATCGCAGCTTTCCACAGCAGAGATATGTTCTCCACTGCCTGCGGACATTCTCTTTCACAGCACAGTGGAAAATGAAGACAAAGAAACCTGTACAGGACAAATTAGCAAAAGATTAGCTTTTGGGGTATACTCATGAATTATGATTTGGGCAATATGGACATCTTGGTTTCATCAGAAAGACTACAATGTGGCTGTCTCATTTTGAAGTAGAACCAAGTGTCTCACCTAGCAGCGAGTTGAATATAGAGAAAAGATAAACAAATGGTAAGTTGAGGGGTCCCCAGGCAAACAGAGCAAAGCCCCAGGTGAGGCCAAGCAGGATGATGAGGCCAGCGACACTGCGCATATCAGACACCATTCCCCTGTTAGGAGACTGGTTCTGGGGGTTTTGCTTCTTGATCCGAGACAGCTGGACCAGCACAACGATGAAGACCACGAAGCACAATACAAAGATGAGGAGGAAGTAGGCCACCACACCCACGTAGAAGACGAGGTTATTGCGTATCCAACAGCTACAGTGGGACACAGAATGTATTACACAAGTCTAAAGTAGGCTGCAAAAATTTGACAAGTACAATAGTCCAAAGAAAACATGTTTGCCATCTGCTAGGTGGATATTAAGTTACTATTCATGTAGTAGTCACTTTTCTGTAGCCAGGTCAATCTGATATGCATTTACTTTGGAAGTGATATGTGTGTGTGCATGTCAAACAGAGCTTTCACACAGTGAACATTTTGACCTGTCAACAAACGTCCAAATACCTCAAAATGTCTGAGAATTTTGTCCCATTTCTAAAATTAGCCTGGGGCAACTAGTAGAGGAATAATATCAGGATAAATCTGTACATGGCTTTAGGTATGTCATGAAATTCCATAAAGCCCATATAGTCAATTCAAAAACCATGGTGCCTGTACACTGAAATAGATTTTGGCCATTATTACCAACATATTACAGTGTTTAAAAATTCTAAAGTTCTGCAATGAGAAAGGACTGCTCAATTTATCAAGATAAAGTTTGACCAACAAATACAAATTTGGTTTGAATATTTCAACACCAAAGACATCACAATAAAGCAGATTGTTTGTATCTGTCACCCTCTTGTGGCCAAATACAGTAATGACAGGAATAAGACAACTATACCGATTTATTCCTACAGGTTCCCTGTAGAGTTTTTGACCTCTAGTTTTGGGTTTATGTGTTTGTTTTGTCTTTTTTTTTTTTTTTTATCTCATGCACACAGGACATCATACACATTCCTGCCAACAGTTTCACACTAACAGATACAGTGATACCCCAGCAAACACTGGACAGAAGATTGTAAACATGAATTTTAAAAAAGACTCTTGATTCAAAATACTTAAAAATGTGTGCATGAGGAAGAAATTATGTTCAACAAATTCGTTGCTAAAGGATATGAACAGGAAAACAACTATTATTACTTACAACTCCATAAAGCTTCTTTAACTTTACCTGGTTCACAATTCCTATATAGTGTTTGTAATGTAAAAGTGAAAAGATTATGTTGATATGGTTCTTGTTTTGTAAGTGGTTTCACGATGAAGTAGTTTAAAAATGTAAAGTATATTATTTCGTGGCAGTGCAGCATATATGAATAGCTCCATTCTATTCATATTTATTTATGGATAAGTAGAAATCAAACTCTTTAGCAAATATTCAGTTATACTACAGGACGCAACTTCTATTACATACTCTGTTATGGTTAGTAGAACATTTAAATGAAAAATAAAACACTTTTGTTTAAAAAAGCTGATTTTACTGCACATGGTAAAAATTTAAATGTAACTTACAGTATAATCAAAATTTAACTTACAAGTCATCTGAAGGGCCGTCTGTATATTTTCCATATGCAACCAGACCATAGTTGTTTTTGTCCACTGAGATTACAATGATTACCACGACAAGAGGAATACCTGCAAACACCAGAATTTTAATTAGTTGAACCATCTCATTACATCCAACAAAAACTATTTATGAAAACACTTTATGAACACCTCAATAAAATGGTAAAGCTATAACATCTTAGAGCCCAGTGTTGAGATACTCACCCCAGCCCATCAGCGAGAGCTTGAGCATATATCTGCTGAGGTAGGCAGTGAACACCTTGACGATACTGATGTACATGTGCAGGGCCTCTAACCGCAGGAAGTAGTGCAGGAAGAAGGCAGTGCTGATACACAACCCAGTTGCTGGGTATAATGCCAACCAGCCATCCACTAAGAATACCAGGTTGAGGAAGAGAAGGGAGAAGCAGAGCTGGACCAGAATCTTGGCTGGAGTATCCCGCAGCAGTTTCCTGCAAAGGAAGAGTCTGTTAAAATAGAACTTGGAATAGAAATTGAATTCATTGTGTAATTTACATGGACCGCTTTGCAGTTCATAAATTTTCAAGTCATGCAATGAATTAATTTTAGCTTTTAAATGATCCATGTTGCATGTTAAAATGACCAAACTGTTAGGACAGAAGGAACAAAATTAGCCTGGTAAAGAGATGATTTCTTACTCAAATAAAAGGTATGTCAGTATGGTGACAGCGAGAAAAATAGCAGAAATTCCACAGCCGATGTAAGTAATGTAAGTCAGAATTTCTCCTTGCTGACGATCAGTTACTCCTTCTCTGGACAAATCCTGTTTTTGAACGGGGCACACACACAAATATACACACGGTGAACACATGCTGTACAACTGAACCTCATCGATTCTGTCACAGCTGTTGTCTCTGCCCTCTAGTCTCCTGACACTATTGTTTTCTGGACTGCTCTATGAATTGACATTCCCCATCCAGTCTCCAGTTATTTCCCTCTGACTCTGCCCTTCAAAAGAGGCATCAGTTGTTTCCCTGTCAGTTATCCACTGGTCTATCCCTGAGGTTAGGATAGGGTTGGCGTAGTTGCTGCCTGTCCTGGAGTCATACAGCCTTCTGGCATGCTCTCAGTCAGTGATCCATCAGAGCTTGCTTCTCAGCCTGCCTCTCCCACAGCTAGGTCTGCTAACCACCAGCCTGTTTCCCAGCTAGTTAGCACTGGATGTACATTGCAGGCCTCCATCCAGCCCAATCAGCCAGCCAGCGTATCCACTGGGGGGTACGCTGGGGACTTAATTCCCCATACATACACTGTAATTCTGATTTGAAAATTACTCTATTAATATTACTGTCAATACATCACATGCACATACAACAAACATAAACATTAAAACAAAGCCACAAACCAGCAGTATTGCAAATGAAGTAAGATGGTTGCAGCTGCAGGTTGTTGCTTCTGATGTGGCATTGACACGATCACAGCCAACTTTACTCCAGCCTCCTTTACCACCTGAACAATACAAACACCACAAACAGCAATGTTCAGAACTGTGGAAATTTAGCTCTTAACTAACTTGATTGCCATTCATGTACTCACCATTCAGATCAAAGTCCCAAAATACACAGACCCCAAGATTTGTCTAAAAAACATGAAAAACAATTTAATTGTAGTACAGTACAAAATGAGCAGTAATTTTCAGGGTTACCCTTCATATTGAAAACCACTGAACAAAGGGAAAAGTATAATGTTACTGTGGTTTATGGCTTCACATTGTTATGAGCCTGTAATTTGCATCCCAATCTCACATGAAAACATAGAATAGCTACATTGATCCACAGCTTAAAAAGTAGTAGTGTCACAATAAAAAATAAAAAAGTAAAAAAAAACTGACATGGCAACATTTTTATATCAAAACCCAGTGTCGTCCTTTGTCTTCTTCTCCTTCTTGGTGTTTTATGGTGGTTGGCAAACAACAAATGTATATGCATTACTGCCACCAACTGAACTGGTTATTGACGTTAAACGATTTGGAACAACAAAAAGGTAAAAACATGAGGAAATTGGAGGTCCGGGCAGATGAATGGGCCAACAAACACCTGACCTTTATGATAACAACCAGAGATTGAGTCCCACATTTGATTTTGTACTTTTCATTTTAGAGTATTTTAACCAAACCCAGGGGCTTTCCCTAAACCTAACCACATATAAGGAATGTCAGCCACTGTCTTTTGTTTTCGCTGCCAGAAAAACATTGCCATGTCACAATTTTGATGGAGTTATTGTAAGACTAGTGCATTTTGTGTTGCAGACTAATGTACAGTAGCTATTATACATTTTGCTGTGAGACTGGGCTGTGATTTGCAAATACATTGAAGACCAGTTAGTTGCTATGGGCTTTGTAAACAAGGATCAGGATCTTTAAAATAAATAATACAAGGATTCCAATAAACAGTAACCAGCATGTCCAGAAAGGGTTTTTTTTTTATCAGAATGCTAAAGTAGCTACTGCTTTTGGTCTGACCATCAACATGCTGACAATTACTTGTGGTATTCAACTTATGTGACTTTTTCTGGATGAACTGATTCATGAGAAAAAAGAATTGTTTGCCTACTCACAGATGTAGTTTCGGTGTTTTGGATGGTAAACTGAATCTTGTCTGTCAAGTTGCTTATTGACAAATTGTAAACACTGCAGGCCAGGACAGGACTGACATAGGTTATTTTGTTTAATGATGGATCCTGCAAAATAGAAGATAAATGCATGCAGGTTAGAGGATGGTGATGGTTTACATTTAATTTCAGCACAAGAATTGCTCCAGTTTGAATAATATTTTATTTCATAATATTTTTTCAAAGAAGACAAAACCTTCTGTGGAGCAATATCTGTACTAAATTCAGTAAGAACATCAAATTAAACAGAGAAAATTTCAAAATGCTGTACATGCTGTACATCACTGACTGAACACATAGAAATATTAATATTCTGCGAGACAGTACCTGAAAGAGGACAGGTTTGGTGTAAAAAGTGAACTGGACTCTGCTGGCCAGGTATTGTTGCTGAGGACTGAGACCTGAGGTGAGGGAGGGTGGCAAGAATGCAGACGCCAGAGGAGTAGAACCTGACCTCTTGGACCGGGACCTAGTGACGGTCTGAAGACACCAAACAAACAAACAAACAAAATTTAAAAAAATAAATTAATTAATTAAAAAAGCCTCCTTATCTGCTTAAAGTCTGGCCATGCATACATTTTTGTAAATGTTTTTTTGTAAATTTTTGATTCAAAACATTATGTTCATTTCATGAAATTTAATAAAACTAGATGACTACATTCAAATCTGGGCTACCTGGACATCATAAGTACTGAAGATGTTGACAGATGTTGTTGGAAAGTTGCTTCCATCCACTGTCCTGACTGCCAGAACCAGTGAATCCGAAGAGAGGGGTTCACTGTTACCACTGACATCCACTATATAACCCAGTTTATCCACCACATGAATCAACCTGTCCACAGAAAAGAAGACAGAAATTTAGAAAGTCAGATACATGTGCATTTGTTTGCATACACATTGGTGGGTGTCATGTAAGTTGTACCTGTTAGCAGATTCTGAGAGGGCCACTGAGGATGCTGCCATTAGGTTGCTGACAATTTGGATGATTTTTTTCCCCACGGGGTTTGACACAGTGGGCTCACGCTCAAGGTACTCCAACTGATCCACGATGTTTCTCACCTGCAACATCCATCAAACTACAAAGTTACCTTCTAAATGAAAGATATGTAATTCAAAACAACAAGTGGCCACTCCATTAACAGTAGCTGATAGATTTAAATGTGAGTCACTTTGCCATTTTTATGATAGTTGTGACAATCTTGTTTGGTTTGCTTTAAAGGTTTGAGGATGTAACTTATTTTATATTGGGTTTTTTTTTTGTCAAATAAAATTACAATTTTGGTTCCAAATAGCAACTTGGTAAAATAATGTATCTAAAAATCCATTGGTTAATCCTTCATAGACCTAAATTTTGAAATGGTTTTATGGCTTTATGGTTGAATATTGCATACTTTAGTAAATCAGTAGTTTCACCTCTGAGGAGTCCATCTGGGATGCCTGCTGTGATTCCTTTAGCAGCCGGTCTGCATTATAGTCTGCTGAGCTTTGGTATGGAGTTGTCATTATAGTGGTTGTGGAGTGAGTTCCAGTACCTTAGTAAGGAGTACAACAAATCATCAAGTTATTAGTCTCAATAATGTGGTCAGTTATGTGATGTGATGGTCACTATTGTATGACTAACACAGATCTCAAATGGGAAATGCTATATAGAAAAGTATCCTGTCCATGCTGACTGAAACTCAAGAGCAACACACACAAGTTTTTATAAACAGCAACAAGAAAATGTTCTGTTAAAACAATGGCTTTTACATATTACACATTAATAGTATCACATTTAAGTCTATGCAGTGTTTCTCAACACTGTTTCTCAAGTCCACTAAATCTTAAAAATAATAAGTTACGGATATTGCTGTTCTTTTTGGTGCGTCCAACTGTTCATGCAACTTAAATCAGTACAGCAGTAAAAATGTCAGGTTCTAAGCTTTACATACCAGTTGTTGTGGTTGTGCTGGTCAGGGTGGTCGTTGGGAGAGTAGTACTGCTAGGCATCGAGGTTTGTGAACCATTTGTGGTTATAGTTGTCATCATGCTGGAAGCTGGGGCTGTTTCATTACCGGAAGCTTTAGCAGATGTCGAATTGACTCCTGAAGTTACAGCTGTGCTGGAGTTAATGTCATTTTTGGTGCTTGTTGTGATGTTTTGAGTCACAATTGCTGTGGTGTGACTTGTAGTCTTGTTGTTAAGAGCACTTGCTGTGGTACTGTTGACAACAGAAGTCACAGTCGTGTTTGTTGTGAATGTTGTTGCATTGTTGTTGTTGATTTGTGATGCAGTGGTAGATAATGTTGTGTTTATATATGTGGCAGTGGTGTTCTGTTGTGTTACTGTCATGGGTGCAGTGGTTATGTTGTTAGGAGATACAGTTGTAGTTGTTACATTGTCTGCTGTTGTGTAATTGTATTGTGTAGTTATATTGTTGACTGTTGTCCCATTGGGAGAAGGTGTTGTTGTGTTACTTTCTGTGCCATTGATGTCATCTCTGACCTGCTGCCCTGCTGTGTAATTGGCAGAGGCTGTAGTATAATTGGTGATGGCTGTAGTTTCATTGTACACTGTTGTGTGATTGTGAGAGGGTGTAACTATTCCGGCTGTAGTTAAGTTGTACTCTGTTGTGTGATTGGGTGTAATTGCATTGGTTATAGTTTCATTGTACACTGTTGTATAATTTGAAGAAGTTGTAAGTGGTTCAGCTGTAGTTGCATTGTTGTTACTAAGACGGCTCGTCACATTGTAATGTGCTGTATCATTTGGAGAAGATGTAAATGTCATGTTTGCAGTTACATTGTACTCTTTTGTGTCTGTGGAATGTGTAATTGTAGTTACATTGTACACTGTTGTGCCATTTGGATAAGGAGTAAATGTAGTTGTATTGTAAACTGTTATGTTACTGGGAGTAACTGTTTTGACTGTAGTTACATTGTAGAGTGATTTCTCAGTTGGTGTCAGTGCTTCAGCTGTTACATTGTTGGCTGTTGTGTTACTGGATGTGACTGTAGTTACATTGTAGAGTGATTTCTCAGTTGGTGTCAGTGCTTCAGCTGTTGTTACATTTTCGGCTGTTGTGTTGTTTGGAGAAGGTGTAAATGGTTTGGCTGTAGTTACGCTGTAAACTGTTCTGTTACTGGTTGTAACTGTAGTTACATTGTAGAGTACTGTAGTATTTGGAGAAGGTGTAAATGGTTTGTCTGTAGTTACGTTGTAAGCTGTTGTGTTACTGGGTGTAACTGTAGTTACATTGTAGAGTACTGTAGTATTTGGAGAAGGTAGAAGTGGTTTGGCTGTAGTTACATTGTAAACTGTTGTGTTACTGGGTGTAACTGTAGTTACATTGTAGAGTACTGTAGTATTTGGAGAAGGTGTAAATGGTTTGGCTGTAGTTATGTTGTAAGCTGTTGTGTTACTGGGTGTAACTGTAGTTACATTGTAGAGTACTGTAGTATTTGGAGAAGGTGTAAATGGTTTGTCTGTAGTTACGTTGTAAGCTGTTGTGTTACTGGGTGTAACTGTAGTTACATTGTAGAGTACTGTAGTATTTGGAGAAGGTAGAAGTGGTTTGGCTGTAGTTACATTGTAAACTGTTGTGTTACTGGGTGTAACTGTAGTTACATTGTAGAGTACTGTAGTATTTGGAGAAGGTGTAAATGGTTTGGCTGTAGTTATGTTGTAAGCTGTTGTGTTACTGGGTGTAACTGTAGTTACATTGTAGAGTACTGTAGTATTTGGAGAAGGTGTAAATGGTTTGGCTGTAGTTACATTGTAAACTGTTGTGTTACTGGGTGTAACTGTAGTTACATTGTAGAGTAGTGTAGTATTTGGAGAAGGTATAAATGGTTTGGCTGTAGTTACATTGTAAACTGTTGTGTTACTGGATGTGACTGTAGTTACATTGTAGAGTACTGTAGTATTTGGAGAAGGTGTAAATGGTTTGGCTGTAGTTATGTTGTAAGCTGTTGTGTTACTGAGCATAACTGTCTCAGCTGTGGTTGCATTGTAGAGTGTTTCATTATAGGGAGAAGATGGAACTGTCTTGGTTATAGTTAGATTGTTCTCTCGTGTGTCTGTGGGAGGTACTGTAGCATTTGGAGAAGGTGTCAGTGGTTCTGCTGTAGATACTGTGTACTCTGTTGTGTTACTGGGAGAAGCTGTGAATGTATTTGCTGTAGTTAGGTTGTACACTGGTGTGTGATTGAGAGGCAGTGTAGTTGTGTTCGGTGTTGAATCCATCATAGCGGTTGTGTTCTGTAATGTGAGAGTGTTAGCAGATGTTATGATATTGGGTTGGGTTGAGTTGGAAGAGGAAAATGTCACAAATTCTGTTGTGTTTTGTTGTGTTGTGGTTATGTTTTGAAGTACTGTAGTGGGTGTCACAGTTAGGTTCTGTGAGCTGGTTTGAAGGAGAGGATGTGCTGTTGAGGACTGTGTGCTGTTTAACTGTGTAAGTGGAGTTGTCATGTTAGGCTGAGCTGTTCCTCGTGATGCATTTGTCTCTTGAGTTGCAGGAGATTTTTCAGTTGCTGGGTAAGTTTGTTCATTAGTGCTGGTCACCAGTGTTGGCATGGTTTCAGGAGGTGTAGTAAAGCTGCTGTTGGACTGTGTTGTGCAGCTGTCAGTCAAAAGAACAGCAAGCGTCTCATTTGCCTCACTATGAAAGAACAGACAAAAAGCAGAATAAATCATTTTTATACTAATATTAAAGACAAATCTTTATTAACTTTTATCTGAAGTCAGTGCCTGGTTGAATGGCAGTGGCAGGAGTATGCCTTAAGTGACTTCCAACCATACAATGTCACATAGAGATAGACAAGAGAAGACATAGGTTCTAAAATTGAATATTCACCACTCTCACGGAGAAAGTAACTGAGAGCAAAAAGAATAGTTGCACTCCCAATGTTTTATACATTTACCATTTAAGCAAAGTAGGGTCAGGATGACAGACATCAGAGATCAGCAGGTCACTGTCAACCCAGGTGAAGTTGGAGGCCAACAGTGTACGCACATCCAAACCAGGAGAACCACATATTACTGAGGACAGAGAAATCAAACAGAACAGAGGTTTCATCACAGAAAAAAATGTATGCAGCAACATTGATCATAAACTGCAACATGTCAACTAACCGATTCGGGTAACTGGTCTTTCAACTGATATTTCAGTGATGTTGTCAATGAGCTGTTGCATAAGTTCACTCAGGGAGCAAACACTGACAGGTCCAGACATTTCCAATATCACCATGCAGCTGTACAACCTGGAGACAGACGACAGAATTCACCTTCAGATATTATTCATTAAATACATTATCACCAGTATTTGCATTCCAGGGGTTAATCCTGTATTATAATATTTTTTCATTTTCCTTGACAGATTTCTGTCATTTGTGTTCTTGTACTTTTTCTTTCTTTGTGCCTGGTGCATCTGACAATCATCCAAAAATCCTCAACAAACAAAACAGCCCTAGGATTTTTAAGAGTAGTCAGCAATATCCTTTTTCAACATTTTTTAAGAGGCTCATTTCTGTATGTGAGAATAACAAGCAAGAAGAAAGAAATGGTCTACCTCTGTTGTACCCCATGACATTCCAGGTGAGCGTGCTGGGAAAAGCAATATATATTCATAAAACATCATTAACAGGTCTCAGTATGAAAAAAAATCAACAAATTTCAGCTGGCTGGAGTGACCTTCTAGAGATCAGTGTCATTATTAAGGTTTTATGTTGACTTTAATATGAAGCCAGTTTTACCTGGTACTTCTTTAAAATCTCTGCATAATCTCCACATGGTGACCTGGAAACAAAGAATTGTCCATGTGAGAATTATTACCTCCAAAACCCTTAAATATAAGGCACTGAATTATTATTTAAAGGCTCTACTAGAGATATTTTCTTTTACTCTAATTGCAGTTAGAAAAAACACACAGCTTGGTTAGCTTAGCCGTTCACTGGCTCTTTACGACGCAGTACAATGGTACTAGCAAACTCAGGATGGATTTGAACATGGTCAGCAGGTATGTACCGCGAGTGGATAGACTTACCCCGACTCTGGGTCACAGAGGCGGTCTACACGAAGAGTTGTTAACTGTCAAATAAAGTCTGACAATCAGTACAAAGCATGTCAACAATGAAATGTATAAATCAATCACACTGTGCTGTACATACCATTTTTTGTATGAAGCTAATATTAACAGATGCCTTGCTGATGTTAATTCTTAAGGCAAAGAACTCACCTGAAAAGAAAAAGAACAATAATAAGAACAGTATATCATAGGCAGTATAAGACATAATTCTAACACCTACCCTCTGAGATGAATTAATACAAATATTTGCCCTCTTTTCAAAAGATAGATGAGAAGATTGACTTTCATGTCTCTCCAATAAATATGATGGTTCAGCCAGGAGCTAAGTGTTAGTTTAATGTTGGTGCTCACAGCTAGCCTGGCTCCATATAAACATAAATAAATTCATCAATCATCTCTAAAGCTTGCTGAACAACATGTCATATCCTGTTTAGTACAAAACTGACAAGTTGTGTTTATGAACTTCTTTATGCTCTTTATGCTAATAAACTGTTGGATAAAACTTTGTTTATGTCACAGACCTCAGTTTGGTATTATTTAAACACTAATAAGTACATTTCCCAAAATTTAGAAGCGTGATTCATTTAATATTTGTATAAAGTTGCATTAAGTAATCTCATACTTCACAGTCACATTTACCAGCTGTGTTTGTGTGGGGGGTTTCTATAAACAAATACACAAAATATGCACACATATATTTTTGCTTGTCAACACAGTGCAAACATATGTAGACAGGCAGGAACAAAAAATTCAGGTTTTTTTCTTACTTGAAGAACTACAGAAAGAAGTGCAGTCACAAAAGCGAGGAGCTTCACCTGAGGCACAGAAAAACAATTATAGCAGCAGAAGCAACACTGAATTCAGGAGAATGTAATGGGTGTCTGTGTTTGTGGTACTCACTGCCGCAGGAGTATGGGTTTGACTGTGGAGCTGGGCTGGACATGGGCTCTGTGACTGAGCTAGAAGATACAGAGGATGATAAGATACAGAGTGCATGCATGTACATTTAGGCATGCACTGTAGAGAAAAGCAAAGGCACTGCTCACCATGTAAGATTAGAGGGTTTGTCAGACTGACAAATACTGTTCAGGGAAGATGTGGACGTGCACCTCACGAACTCACCAACAGAGGGCTGTGTACTGTCACATAGATTTCGACCTGATGTGAACAAAATCAACAAGACTGTGTTAATAAATCTTTTTTGTGGGAATGACTCTTGTTCTGCTGTGTTTGTGATGTTTTGGGGTTTTAAATCTAGAATGCAACGTTATGTGTTTGTGCTTGGTGAGGCAAAGATTTACTAGACTTTGTCAGACACACACTGCATTTTCATCGTGTGTCACAAAAATTAGGTCATTTTTTAGAAGCTGCACACACTTTGAACTGATTTAATAGATGTTTGTATGTTTATGTACAGTGCTACATTCCCCCACACTCACATCCTGTATGTGAGTGTGTGTATTCCTGCTAGTGTTTTGCTGTGTTTGTATCTGTATTTGTATACAGTATGCATGTTCTCACTTAATTCATCCTTGTTTGGACATTTTAGCTGATCTTCACTGAAAAGCTTTTTGAGGGTTACAGCTTGGTTTTGGAGATCAGATTAGATTTCAGTTTTGTTTAGGTTTAGGGTAAAGACTGGGATTAAACATGTACAGAGTGGTGACACCTTCATTGACTCTACAGTAATAGCAGATCATACATAGTTCCACACATTAGCAGCAGCGCCACAGAGTTACATTGACCTGGCTGCTATCTGTCAAAGTAAGAAGTTGAAATCCATAGCATTAATTATAGTTGTGACATTTTAAGTTAAGGATATGTCAGAACACATTTTACAACCTTTTGACGGTCTCCCTGCGTCACTTTAATAATTAGGTACATAGCTAACTAGCTAAGGAATCTGAGCTATCTACAACAGCAGAGCACACAATTAGTTTGCAAGGCTGTACAAGTCATTAAAAGCAGTAATTAAACACTAATAATAAACACCGCTGTTTGGAACAGAAAATGAGGGATTTGAATTGACGTCTTGGAACTATTTGAAGCTACCTGAGTCACATGACCCGCTGTTATTTTTTTAACCCCTTGGTGTTGCAGCTCTTCTGTCTTAATGCGTCTGCACAAGTACTGCAGTGGTGATAGTTCTGGTAAGGGGCATTATGCCATTGAGTGTCCACATAACTATAGAAAGACACAACTTTGTGTGTGTATCTGTATGTTCTATGTTTTTGCGCATGCGTGAAGATATTAGGTGATATTAGGTTACTGACAAATGCTCACCAACTCTCTCCACCTCTCCAATGATTCTTGCATGCATTTGGTTTCTTTGCTGCAATGCAGAGGCTGCAGCAATCTGCAGTTCACATGGTAAGATGGCACGGTTGAAGTGCAAAAACACACTGCAGGTTGTATTTCTGGAAGCACAACACAGCTATGAGGAGGTGCAATTTTATGTATATGAAGCAAGTGCACAAAATACCTACTGACATGCTGTTACCTTATGTCTGTTTTTGCAATACAGGACACCTCCACTGTCTGTAAAGTGACAGAGAAGGTTTGCAGTCATTTGCCAGCCTTAGAGAAGACATTTTATTCTGGATAGTGCTATGGTGTTGAATGTTTCTGTGACATACTGACCTGCAGTTGTGTGCCACCCTGACAGAAAATGTATCCTGTAGTGTTATCTTTACAACCGAACACATTTGACACCTGAGTGAAAAATAGAGAAACAGAAAGAGAAGCAGGCAGATGCTGTGTGAGACGAAATGGGAGCTTTTCATATACAAAAGTGCATGAATGAAATATAGGTCGACCGCCTCGCTGAAGCTGCATTTAGGGTATGCTGATCTGGCATTAGAATATATGTGAGCATGAGTGTTCGCATGGGTTTCACAGTTAGTAGTGTGTGAAATGTCTGGTTATGCTAACACAATCTTCTCATTTAGTCAAATGTTATTGGTGTGACATTGCATAATTTGAGGAATGTGGTGTCATTTTTGTGAAATGCCATTTAAAATATTTAACACTGGCATAATAAACAAGATTTATCAGTTTTCAGGTCAGATGTGTCAATTGTATTCCATCGTATCTCTTCAACTCTAAACATTAGCCTAACGCTAGCTTTGCCAGTTGGATACAGCAGTTACACCCAGCATTCAGTGAGTGGAAAACATTTAGTAACTAATCTTTACATGAGAACTAGTTTGTTAGGTGCAACCTGTTTAATTTAATAGCAGCCGTGCTAGGCCAGAGCTAGTCTAATTATGATCTTATGAACAGTTGGTGTACCTGGCTCCTGATGAGATGTGTTGCCTTTATACACAGTTTCACAGTTTTAGGGGACAAGAATGTATTAGACAAATTAAGAAAACTTGAAGCCACCATGTGCTGAGTTTTGCAATTACATGGTCTTTCAAATTATTCCAATTATTTAAGGTTTATGTTTGTACAAAAAGAGACAGTCCCAACAGAAATTAGGAAACTGTATGGAAGAGTCCAACTGTGGTCATTATACTGTATTTAATTGTTGGTTGCAGTTTGTTTGCAATTAAAATGTAATAATTTAAAAATGTCCCAAACAAATAGAAATTTAAGCTGAAGTGAATATTTTTTGAATCATCTAGTTTTTTCTAAACAAACAAACAAACTGTTGTGGCCAAAAATGACATCATGAGAGCTGTGAGAATAAACCAAACCAATAACTTTAAGTTATAAGTTACAAAAGTGTAAAAGTCAATTATATAACACTGATAACACATCACTCAGGTTTTCCTAATTTCACAGTGCTACATGTCAACAAATGACGTACATTTCATTACTTAGCTATGTCACCAAGTCATTATGGTCCCTCAGTACTTAGAGCAAATAAAGACCTGGATGCAATCAAATTTCATTCAGCCAAAAAAAGACAAGATTGAAGTTTTTGGCAACAAGAAAGAAAGAAAGAATGAAAGTTATTGCTCAGCTTGATTCTAGAGCTATAAAGACAAAAACACAGACTCATACCTGAGCTTCACAGTCACATCAAGGCCATAACTAAATCAGCTTTTTATCACCTCAAACAAATAGCAACACTCAGAGAGCTCATGTCGAGACAAGATTTAGAGAAACTCATTCATGCCTTCATCTCCAGCAGGCTGGATTATTGTAACAGTTTTGTCTGGTCTTCCCACAAATACTTTTAGACAACTTCAGCTCATTCAGATGCTGGTGACAGAACCAGAACCAGGAGAACTGAGCACATCACCCCTGTTCTTAAATCCTTACATTTTAAAGTGCTTCTCCTAGTTTATAAATCACTCAGTGGTATGGGGCCAAAATATATGTCTGCTCTCCTTGAAGAATACAAACACAGCAGGGCTCTGAGATCCTTAGGAAGTAGTCAAATGGTAGAACCTCAGGTGAGAACCAAGCGGGGGAAGCTGCTTTAGCTGCTCTGCTGCACACAGATGGAGCCAACTACCTGAGGACCTTCAATGTGTCCCATTTTCAAGTCCAGACAGAAAATTGTTTTCCTGTGCCTTTGATTGACTTTTTTCTCTGCTGCACTTTCTGTTTCATCTCTTGCATTCAGGGCCGTTTACAAGTTATTACTGCACTGTAACTGCTAGATAATCTTGTTTTAGACCTTTTACTTTGTCTATTTCTTTTTATCTATGTATTTCTTCACTGGTTTTAATGCTTATTGTTTTTAATACAGTTACTGTTTTTCTTCACCTATGCAAAGCACTTTGAATTGCCGCTGTGTATGAAATGTGCTATATAAATAAAGCTGTCTTGCCTTGCCTTTCAAATCCAAACTACTTTTAAGTACATCACAGGGTTGGAATGTGCTTTAGCGCTGGCAGGAATGTGCTGCTGCTCCTATGAACAAATCCTGTGCTGGCAAGACTTGTTTGTGACAAGGTGACATTTAAAGCTATGAAATGAATGCCACAGTGATGGGGTGGAGACCAATACTTATATAAGCTCAACAAAGTGGATGAAGGAATGTTTTTTGTTCTCACCAAATCTTGCACATCTTGTTCACCCTTGTTGCCTTGTGTGACTTCCACACTGATGTTCATCCAGAAGTAAGCACCTGCAAAAGTAAATAAAGTTGTAAGCCTACAGATATGCATAACAAACACTCTGATGGGGCAGTAGGTCAATAAGTCTTACTATCATTGGAGCAGAGCTGGCTGATGTCACAATTTACCACTGAAGAACCTAAAGGAAAAGAAAAAATTAATGAATAAAATATAAGCAAAAGGGCGGCATGGTGATGCAGTGCTTAGCGCTGTTGCCTCACAGTAGGAAAGTTCTGGGTTTTACGCCCCAGCTGACCCAGGGCCTTTCTGTGTGGAGTTTACATGTTCTCCCTGTGCCTGCCTGGGTTTTCTCCGGGTGCTCCGGCTTCCTCCCACAGTCCAAAGACATGCAGCTTAGCTTGACTAGCAACTCTAAATTTCCCCTAGGAGTGAATGTGAGTGTGTGGTTGTTTGTGTGTAAGTGGCAGCCCTGTGATACACTGGTGACCTGTCCAGGGTGGACCCACCTCTCACCCAGTTGGGCTGGGATTGGCTCCAGTCCCCCCCACCCCCACCCACCCATTGATAATGGATAATGGATGGATGGATGGAGATATGCAAAATGAAATAGGTTTAGGCCTTGTGTCTTCGTTAAATCAGTACTGCACTAATTGTATAAATGAATGATCCTCCAGGTGTGGTTTGGTTGGTGGAGGGAGACATAACTGGAAACATTTAGGTGTGTGCTGAGATCTTATTGGCCTGACTTTTGTTAGCAGACTAACAAGTAGAGATGTGACATCAGAAGTTGTGCTTGATGTCACCAGTGGAGTTACTTTTATTGAGGGTGTGACAGATGAAATATTACATTTTAGCTACATTTTTGTCATTTGCTGACATTATAATATTTACATTTTAGTTAAACTTAAATCTCTGCTATTTTTTTTTTTATTATGCCACTTACAGATCAATCTATAATTGATCAAAATTGATATAGATCATTCATAAGATTACAAAAAGCAGGAACAAATTTTAAAATTTGCTACTTTTGATCATCTGCCAATATTATAATATCAACTTAACAAAATTCAAAAAGTAGATCCAAAGCACATTATCCTTAATCCTCTGCAACTATGTACCGCTGTTATAATGTTTTCATAACAAAATCCAATATAAAACATAAAAGAATGGAGCAAAATTGAAAATAACCGTAGTTACAGTTTCATTTTACCATTTACTCTAATGTGAACATAACATGATGAATGAAACAATAAATAGTATGGCCAAATTTAAATTACCCGCACATTTCTGTTACTTTTCATCATTTACTGACATTTTATTATTGTAACCAACAGAAATGAAGAATAAAACTACACAAAGTACAACTTTTTATCATTTACTGCTATAACATGATTCATCCTACAATGTTTGGTGTTGTTCTAATTAGTTAGTGTCTGATGGACATTCAAGAGAATATTGCACTCAGTTATAATTCATTTGCAACAGGAGTTTGCAAAACAGATACTGATAAGGACCACATGCAGAGACCCAGAAAATGAACCAAAGGTATAAGATACTCGAGAATGACTTACCTGTGACTATCGGGATCTGGCTGTTCACCTGAATGCCAGTTGGTACTATGACAGGACTCAAGGTAGGTGTAATTGAAGGTGCTACGGTAAAATAAAAAATGAAGAAGGGAGTAAGTAAAAGGGACCATCAAGGTTTTTCATGTCTGTCTATCTAGCTAATGTATCTGTATTCAAAAAGCAAAAAAAAAAAGTAAAAAATACAGTGGTGGAAGAAGCATTCAGATCCTTTACTGAAGTAAATAGCAATACTACAGTGTAAAAATACTGAAGTAAAACTCCTGCATTCAAAATGTTACTTCAGTAAAAGTACAAAAGTATTAGCAGCAAAACAATGTACTAAAAAATAAAAGTATTCCTTATAAAGAATGGTACATTTCACATTCCTGTATGTCATATTATTGTATTATAATTATCAATGGATTATTGTGTACATTGATTTTGATTTGATTTATTCTTTCAAACATGTAAAGACAGTCAATATGTCAACACACATAATTTCACACATATCCACAAATGCATTATCAATTTGCTTATACCTAGTACATGCTTGAACGGAGTAGGAAGAAGTTAGACTTATCTAGTCCTACCCCATAACATCATCTTACCAGCATTGGATTGCAAGCAGTATTACTACATGGATAATTTTGTTCTACACCACGCTAGTGATATACTAAAAAATATTACAGACTGTTAACATTCTTACATAATTACATACTTTGATAATTATCTTCTACATCACACAAGTAGAATTATTACATAGTGTTAACATTCTTACACCACACCCACAATGTTACACCTGATTAATCATTAAACCTGTTCTTGCAATAGTTTTTGAATTCCACCAGGTAATAAATTGTTCCTGGCTTTATACATAAACACAGCAGTCTTATATCCCACTAAATCGAAAAATTTTAACAATTTAGACTGTATGAAAGCTACATTGGTGTGATCCCTATACCCCATCTTATGCACAATTCTTATCGCTCTTTTTTGTAATATATACAATGGTTGAAGTGAGCTTTTGTATGTATTTCCCCAGTTTTCAACGCCATACTCTAAGTATGGTAAGATCAATGAAGAATACAAAATGTGTAGTGCTTTCTCGTCCAAAATATGTCTAACCCTTGCCAATATTGATATGTTTTTTGCTATTTTGTTTTGAACATATCTGATATGAGATTTCCAGGTGAATTTATCATCAACTATGACACCTAGAAATTTAATTTCATATACTCGTTCTATATTAGCTCCCCCAATTATCTAGTCTACGATTCCCAAATACCATAAATTTAGTTTTATCCAAATTCAGAGATAGTATATTACTATCACACCATTTCTTTATCTTCTCAAGTTCCTGTGAAACCTGTCCAGAGAGTTGCTGTAGGTTTTCCCCGGATGCCCATATGGTAGTGTCATCAGCAAATAAGACCACTTTCACTAAATCAGAAACCTTGCATATATCGTTAATGTATAATATGAATAATTTAGGTCCCAAAACTGAACCTTGAGGAACTCCACATACAATGTCCAGTTCACTCGATTGATATTCACCCAACTTCACATTGCATTTAAAGGTGCAGCTAAAGAGGGAGCTACTTTAAACTGGCTTATATGCATTTAATTTGAGTATCTGCTGTGTAGTCTAGTCTCTGTGTCCAGAGATCGGGTCGTCGGGGCGCCTGCCTTCGACTGCTGCCCAATCCACTGTGCACCAGCCCCCTACGGGTCC